TTTTTCGTGTGGAGGGCATCTTAGTTATTGTGAAAATCAGTGGAAAATTAGGAGCTGCTATCTTGAAGCATGTCCATAGCACCCTGAAGAGCTGGTCTTGTGCCTCAGATTTCAGCAGGGTTCTCCCGTTAGAAGTGTGGTGCAGAAAACAGGATATAATTGTTACTTGAGGCAATAGATTGTGCCTGTGTCAAGCCATCCGTTCATGGCCTGCCATTTGCTCTTCAGTTCCCAAGGGTATGCTTCACTCAATTTCTGCACTGCTTGGGCAGTAGTTAACAGTTCTTTTCTCTGCCCTAATGTAGTGCTGTGGCCAAGTAAGCTTTTCACTAGAGGAGATAATTTATGTTACCATAGGAGGAATGTTCTCACCTTTCTGTCCATGCTGTTTGTATACTAGAAACATGCTTTTGTTTTCTAGGAGAAAGAATGAAGGTCCCTGTAAATTTTAGCACTGTAGAGTTGGCAAGATAAATATGCATGTATATTGGTAAACTGCTGCTTCAGATCACCTGTCACTGAGCCAAACAAGTAGAATTAGATAGTATCTTAATTCTTAGGCCTTCTGCGGAAGGCAAGTAATAGGAGTATAAGGCAAACGTGGCCATTAAACTTTATTGGCCTCAGTAACATCCAGCACATGATGGCAGAAATATGAATAATTCAGTTATTCAGAGCTTCATAGCAGTTGTTCTGTCAGTCTGCCCACATCAAATACCAAAAAAATTGACTGATTAATAATCGGTGTTTGCAGATTTACGGACACGGATGGACATAATGTTTCTGGGTAGGTCAGGAAGCTTGTGTACCACTGTAGCTGCCGGCTTCTTACAGGCAGGAAAGTACCATTCTTGTTATCCAGAAGCAGCAAGGAGCTGTTGACTGTCTTGGTTTTTCAGCACAATCCTGTTATACAAACTTATGTTTCTCTCTGCCTCAAGAAAAAGATTCTTCACCCTGGAAAGGAAGTTGCTCCAAGAAAAGTATCTTAAGCTAGCTGCTTAGTATTTCTGTTTCTTATTTAGGTGGTCTTAAAATTGAGAAGAAGAATGAAACGTACATCTGAAACTGTTGGCATAGCAATAGTTCTGCAGAATTGCTCTCGTCTGTCACCGGTCTGTCAGATATGTTTCATTTGGTAGCTGTTTATTCCACACTGCTGTGACAATAGGAGGGGAGTTTGGTCCCACTCATGGTAATCTGTGTTTGGAACTTGAAAATGCTATTAGCTCTCTAATGGCATGGATCATAGGGATTGCAATATTTTAAAGGTGCCCAAACATTGAAATATGTGAACCTTAAGCTGTCTTCTGCTGTAATAATCATTCCACAACATGTAGGGCAGAGTCTCAGATGCAAACCCAAACTTTGCTGAGAAACTAATATATAGGCAACTGTGTTATTGAAACAGACTGTGAATGAAGTAAAAGTGAATGTTATTTTTGCTAGTTGAAAGTAACATTGGAGGATCTTGTCGAGGTGTAAATAATCCTATATAGAAAGCACAAAGGAGAGTGAGAATGAATATCCTTTTGCCTGTCACCAGGATCTTGAATATCCTTGAAGGTAAGGATGTAGCAGCTTTTCAGTTAATTCAGATTATACTTCAGAGAGGGTTTGTAAGTTTTAATTCCTTTTCCCTGGATCATTATGTAAGACTAGGCTTTTTATAATTAGTTTAATTCCTGATTAGGCTTGTGTGCACTAGATAATGTATTTCCCAAGGCAAAGCATATAAGGCTAGTTTGCCCAAATGTCTGTTTTAAAAAATCCATAGATTGCAGAAGTCTAAAAATACTTTTAATTTCTTTGTAATACAGCAGAATATGACTTAAACTGTATTGAATCTGAGTTTCATGGGATGCGAAAACCATACTATAACTTGCAGGTACTATGCTTCTTGATAAAGGAATTTCATTTTTAGAGTCATGTAATTTCTAGTAGTAAATATATGTCAAGATTGAGGATATTTAAGAGAACTTCATGAGAAAGTTTTCCATTTTCTGGGAAAAGTAGCATCTGCCAAACATGATACTGTTAAGTGGTGGGGTTTTTTTTGATGGCATTGTATTTCAACCGAACAAATACAACCTAAAATTGAAAGGTAACACAGTGGTTACAGCTATGTAGCTAACAAAACACAGGCAAGTATTGCTTGTAGGCGGTCTTTTAATTTAATTATCTGAAGTGTTTTAAGCAATCAGTACAGTTAGTAGCATCTGCCAAACATGATACTGTTAAGTGGTGGGGTTTTTTTTGATGGCATTGTATTTCAACCGAACAAATACAACCTAAAATTGAAAGGTAACACAGTGGTTACAGCTATGTAGCTAACAAAACACAGGCAAGTATTGCTTGTAGGCGGTCTTTTAATTTAATTATCTGAAGTGTTTTAAGCAATCAGTACAGTTTTCTTAAAGATAATATTTTTTTAATTAAGGCGAAATGAGCAAGCACCCTTCCTAGAGAACTGAAAGGTTGTCTTTTCAAGTTTAATTGGCAGCACTTGGTGGAGGATTAAAGTAATCTCATTAAATGGCTCCATTCAAACTTTGCAGTCACCTAAGAGATGGTAGACAGATGTGAAAAGGGAATTATCCATAAAGCATGAAAGTTAAATTAGCAGCTTTCTAATTTAACTTTTTTAATTTGGAAGATTTCTTTGAGACTTGAGCCTTTTTGTTAGAGTTGGGATATCTTTTGACGGATCTGCAGTATGATGCTTGCTGTCAATGAATGCATCATGGTATTAAAGGCCATTTTTATGCGTGGAGTTATTTAATAAAAAAGGTGTACTTTATTGCCTTTACTGTATATATTTGACATAAAGTAAGTATCTTTGAGGTTGAGATTTGATATTAAAGCATAATGATTTTTTCTTTTGCAAGGTATACAGGTACACTGTAGGCAAGTTTCTTTTTTATGGGTACAGATACATGAATGAGATACTGTGAATGTTCTTCTTAGGAGGTGATGTTGGTCATAGTGTTTTTGAGATAAGTCTAACATTAGACCCCTAAATCCACATACAGGCATGTATTATGCATAATGAGTTAAATGTTTTGCTGTTGCCGGAGGGAAATACCTGTGTGCTTCTTTGTAAGCCTAGGTGAGGGTTATGTCTCGGATGTGCAAGAATTCCCTTAGTATTTGAAAACTCTGGATTTGTGCCTTTCTAAATAGAAATGCGCTCTACCAGTTGTAGGATGTGGATTCTGATATTTTCAGTAGGTTAGGAGCCCCTAAAAAGCCATGTCTCTGAGTATGTTTCTCTTTGTATCTTTTTAATGTAGATCTACTTCCAGAAGTACAGCTCTGGGGCATCCTATTCATTTACAAAATCCGAAGGGTACTTCAGTTTGCATGAATTTAATGCCACTTTAGTTTATCTTAAGTGTTTCTTAGTGAGGTCTTGCAACCTGGGGAGTGACTCACTTTAAGGTAATGCTGTGGTTACACAAGATATTTCCTGTACCTTGAATAAGTACAGCGTTGCTTGCTGTGTGTTGATTCTCATCATAATTGCCATGGTTTAAAAATTTTCATGGTTTTTTTCAGTCCTGCCAGCTGTGTTGTAGGTCTGTGAAAAGAGAAACACGGGTAATCGTTTCAGGGACTAACATGAACCACTGAAATTCTGTGTCTTGATACCATTGTAAGACCAGTGGAACCGATGAAAACATAAAATCCAGGCTAGCAAAAGCAAGATATCCTTTTACAACTGTCTTGGAAAAACAGAAACCTGGTCTTACAAATACAGAATTTCACACTAGAGTAAACCCTGTCTTAAGATGTAACACTGAAACTTGAAGACTGAACTGCAAGTCTTTAATAATAGCATTTAGAGAAGTTGTTCATATTGTATAGCCAGGAAAAACAGCAGACTAAGTCCTGTACAAAAGGGTGATACAGTTGTCCAAGTAGAAGGGTGGATATGTGGATGAGTGTGGAAGAAACAAAAAGCAGTAAATCAAAGCAAGGAGATCGGAATTCTCAAGGCAAAAATTTTTGTGGCAAAGATATGTCTGTAAAGCAGATACGGTTTTATAAAATAAGTGTGATATAAAATAGACCAAAATGACATGGCTATAAGTTGAGATACAACAAATCTTTATTAAAGACTGTAGTGGAGGCCCCTGTATTGCAAATCAGGTGGATGGGACCGAAATTCAAGATTATGCTATCATTATCTTTTTATCTCATGCTTTTGTAGCTAGGGTTATGTCTTCATGTATCACTGCACAGAAGTAAAACTTTTGAATTCACTTACTAACACTGACTTTATGCAACTGTTGCCCTGTACCTCAAGTTTTGTACCTGAATAAGATGATGACCAAAATAGACTACAGTTTCCATACAAAGAGGAAAAAAATAGCTAGGAATTTTCATCTTGAATTGGGGATCTCAATGAGGTCTGGAAAAAAAATGCTGTGGTGAAGGTGGATGATGAGTGATTATTTTGTATCTCATAACGTAGACATTGGGGAAACTGAAAACAATAATTTTCCAAAAATTAGCTTTTAGTCAGATTTTACATTATCATTTTTGCAGTTTTACATTGCTGATCACAGGCTTGTGCTACGTTCAGTTTGTGGGATTTCTTAAAATATAAAGTCTTAAGCATGTAATTTAGTAATTTTAATACAGTTGAAAAATTCAGTTTGCTGCTCAAAATAGGTAAATGGAAAAAAAACACCCAACCCTTCTTTAACCTTACGTTATAGATTTCAAAAGGAAGAAAAAGAAAAAATAAGCAGTTTATCTAGAGAACGAAAGTTGGGGGAGGGAGATGTGACCTGAATAACATATTACTGCCAAATAACAGCTGGTGACAGCTATTTCTCTGGAGCTCACAAAATTTGTGTGAGTTACTTCGTATCATCATCGTATAGTTAGGCACAGGAATGTAGTAAACATAGATGCAAATGTATATAAAATTGTGTTGATTAATGTGTGGTTGATTCAGATCTAATATATTCTTTCTTTTCCTTAGATTCAAGCACCCTATAAGGACCAATGTACCCAATAGCTCATGGAAGAAAAAAATCAAGTCAGGACATCCTTGGTTTCCAGGCTACCGAAATATGGAACGAAAACTTTAGGAAATGTCTTGCAACCTATGCCAAATGGGACGGCTGTTAGTTTAGCAGGGAATAATGGTGGCAAAAATTTCAGCAAGCACAATGGCACTGTTCGTATGTCTTCCTTTTCCTTCAACTGGAAAAAATCAAATAAATATCAACTTCATGATCAAAATGGGAGAGAGACCAACTCTAAACATAACTGTAATGAAAAATTAATCGATTCTGAGAAGTATTCTCAATCTCAAGGAGCATTGGGTAATGATGTGCTCAGGGTGGGTTTGAACAGTACTGCTTCAGTTGCATCAAAAGCAGCAAAGCAAACCAGTATGTTTGTATCTTCTACTGAGGAATTAAACCCAAAGTCTTTGCCTGGACTCTCTAGTTCAGCAAAATTCGCCAAAGGTACCCTGTCAGGAAGGACCTCATATTCTGGACTCGGTGCTCCAAAATCACATTTAAATGGATTTTATGGAAATAGGCCGGTGGTAGGTTTGCAGAGACCTAGAGCTAATTCCAGTGCCACAGGGACAAGTTCGGGAGAGAGCCTGGCACAATCTGCAGACAGTAGCAAGGCTTTTTCCTGTGAAAAAATGGTAAGATCACAGAGCTTTTCACATTCCATTCAGAATTCTTTCCTTCCCACTGCATCTTTAACCAGGTCACATTCCTTTAATAAAGCTGTGGATCTTACAAGGCCTTATCATAGTCAAAATCTAGCTGCCAGGACATCTCAGAGGTCGACTTTGTTGTCAAGAAATGCACGTCAGTTGGATGTACCCAATGGAAATGAACCTATGAAGTATGGATTTACCAGGCCCTACTCTGGTATGTCGGCTCCTTGTTCAAAGAAGCCCCCACTGTCAAATGGATCTGGGTCAGCACCTTCTTTTGGATACAGATTAAGTCGGCCTTCTCTGCTGAAGCCTACCAGGCAGCGATTTGCTGGAAATATCGTTGTGGATGGCAGCAGAAGTACAACTCCTGACACATGCATCGTGGAGAACTCTGAAATTTCAACAAACATTAATAGAGCAATTGAGAAAAACAGTATTATAGAGAGCAATGCTCAAAGAACGGAATCTGATGAGGGCCTGCATGAAAGTATGGAAAAACGTGGGTCAAAAGTCATGTGTATGAGCGATGATGGAGATGAAATATCTATATCTTCTTTGTCATCCTCTGAAAAAAATGATTTGAGTGAAGACTTCAGTGATGATTTCATAGATATAGAAGACCAAAACAGAACTATACATATACAGCAAAAGGAGAGCTGCCTTCAAGAGTTAGACGGGAGCATAACGTCCATTGAGCCATTCACTTCTCTCAAGGAAAGTGGAGGATCTTGCTGTAATGCTGATGACTGGCTTGATATAAACGTGTCTGGTAAATACTTTGTTATGTTCTGTTTGAAATTTTAGGTACTAAATCAAGATTCTGTAACTGTAATTAAGTTGTTTTATATAATTATCAATTGCTTGTGAATTATTTCAGAATAGAACTTGGCTCTATGCTGGCCCATTTATTTTCTTACAGTGCTTTTTCTGCATGATAGTTATCTTTCCCAGGCATGACTTTGAAGAGCTCTTTTTCTTCGGGATAAGAATGAATGATACCTCCTTTAACCACGCTTGTGGTAGGGTTGCAGGATTCCTCATGTCCTTGCTTTGCCATTCATTTCTCTGGACTGGTAATCTTTTAAGAAAACTTCTTTCCCCGCTCCCTGCCCCCACCACCTCTGTACGCAGAGAACAGCTGTAAACCACTCCTAAGTAGTAGGAATAAGCGTAGGGTGTCTAATTAAATCAGTTAAATTATAAATATGAATGTCACTGTTTTTTGTTTTTCCAGAGGCATGCTATATTAATTCTTTAAAAATTAGTGGAAGAGACAGAAGATATTTTTAAAAGCTATGTTTTCAAGTCTCTGGTGGGCTTCTCATAGTACACGCTTGCTTTGAGAGAAGTTACAGTTGAAAGATTGGATTCAAAGGATCTAATTTTGGACCCACCTTCTAATATGTTAAAAAGATATAGAATTCTGAAAGTAGCTTTCATGATGAGTGAATTAGTGCAGTGTAAAAAGCTAGCAAAGATATAGGTTGGAAGGATACTTAGTTGTAGCTACCAAACCAGCTTGAGCTTTTCTCTCCTCTAGGATCAGTGAACAATACTGTGGAATGCTTTCAGATACTTCTGTTACAGTACAGTTTCAGAAAAGTTAACGCACCAATAACACACATCACACATCTTAATTTTTATTTTTGGCATATTGAGTTGTTTTTGGAATCTTGACTATTCCTCTTTTCTTTAAGCAGTGGATGACAACAGTGAAAGCACAAAGCATACTGCCGAGAATGTGATTTCTCCAGAGATTAATTACAGAGCTGGGTCCTCTTTTGAGCTTTCTCCATCTGACAGCTCTGATGGCACGTATATGTGGGATGAAGAAGGGTTGGAACCTATTGGAAATGTCCATCCATGTGGAAGTTATGAATCTTCAGAAATGAACAGCATAGTATGTATTTATATGCATAAGTTGTGTAATTACAGTGTTTTGAGTTTATTGCTTACTAAGTATATTTTAAAAACAAAATTAATGTATTTTTTACTTGATAATTGTTTCCTCTTTCCTCTGGAGTTGATAGCTTTTTTGAAACTTCTTGTTTAGGAACTCCTCTTTCTGGACAGGTGACCTTGATTAGGCTGTTTACATACAATTTTTTTTTTCCTTATTCTCAAATTAGGACAGAACAGGTCCTTCCTTATGCAATCTCATGGTAGTGCTCACAAAGAAAAAAGGAATTAATTTCTGTGAATGATAGGTTAAGTATCTCCTACCAATCTCTAAACCTAGGAGTGAAAAAGCAAGAAAATAGCTATCGCCTATCTGACTTCTTCATCGTCTTGTTTCTATACCGTATACGTATAGGACCCTTCTAAACCAAAGTTTATTTTGATTTCTCAGTTTGTTCAAGCATAGAATCTTTAAGGGAGATGCCTGACTGTAGCTCACTGTAGCAGGACTCTTTGTGTGTCTCAAATGCGATACACAAGATGCATACAACCTTTTTCTTATTGCTTAACTTTTAACTGATCTGCTAGAAACATCATTCAATCTAAAGAATGTACGGAGGGTTGTTGCAGTGCTGTGACCCTCCAGCTGAGGTCTGGGAGCCAACCTTGGGATTCCTGTGGGCTTGAGGAATATATTATCTGTCTGTCCTTCGTCCCTTTGGATTTCATATTCATTTATCGAACAATCTTTTGAATTGAGCAACTCAGGTTTTATGAACATGATACTAACAATCAGAACTTAAAACAAAAAGAATTTGGTATAATCAATGTGTCATGCTTCATGTGTTTCAGGTGTGGTAGATACTGTGTCACCACTGCCAATTTAGTAATGTAGATACCAGTTTCAGACTTGGACAGGGTTTGTGGCATCTACTCAGACTTCAATTTTTAATTGTATTAGGGTTGTCTGCTCTAGCCCAAGAGCAGAACAGCAGAGATTTCTCCTGAAAATTGGGCATAGCTATGTAATTACATTTTTATGTGTAACTACATACAAATTCTTGATATATTTTCAGCTGTTTTGTGGTATTGTTTGCTTTCTGTCTTAAATTACAATGTTGGGTTGTAGTGCTTAAAAGAGTTTGGAAATGGTTATTAACTTTTCGTGGTAATTGTGGCCAGCTTGGAAAAGCAGTTTGAGACTGTTCCAGTATGAGCTTTGTAGCTTTATTGATGTTTATAGGGAACAAAAAAGCTTACTGTAGGCCACTGCAAAAACAAACACCGATTTCCCCAGACACATGCACATGCCAGGAAAGAAAGGAAGTTTTTGAACTTCTTCCTTCATAAATTTTAAATATAGATATTTTTGATACACACAGTATAATTTATCAAACAAATGAAAGACACTATTTTCCCATGCTTTTGGAGTATGTATCTAGGTTTTTGATACACGTGACCTCTGTGCATCGATTTGTGCATGTGTATGAATTGATAGTCAATCAATGTTTTGATTGACAGAAGCTGCTTTAAGCCTTGTGGAGCAGAGGTATGTTAGAAGCTTTTGATACCTTTGTTGAGTACTTTGGTTTATTTCTTCCTTTATTGAAAGTAAATAGCTTTTAAAGAGGACTTAAAAATGGAAGAATGAACTTAATAGGTTTTGAGGAAGTGGAGAAAGGAGGAGGTTTTAAGTAAGGCTTACTGTTGAATCTAGAAAGTCATGTGTGTTTTCCACCTGTTTTGATTTTTATCCTGTTAGTGCTGTTCCAGAATTACAGTACTTACTGTACTGTGAATTTTTATCTTAAATGAGAGAAACATCAATAATACATGTTTTATTTTTACAAAGCAGAAATGTATTTTCAGTCAGCTTGGTTTTTGAGGGGAAATTGTACCTCTGAAGTGTTTATTGAATTGCCTTTTAGTGGTGTTTTTTGTTTGTTTGTTGTTCTCCCCCCCCATGTGCTTGTTGTTTTTGGTAGAAAGCACGGTATATTTGATTTCTTCAGCCTAAAGATTAAACACTGATCACTTTTAATCTGAAGATGCAGGAGAATTTCTGATACAGTTTTTCATTATTTCTGAAGAATTATGATCTTGGGTAGGTTAATGTAAGCTTTTGTTCTATGTTTTTCCTTTTCTCTGCAGGCAATGAGTATAAAGACAGGTTAAAAAAAAATAGAACTGAAGGTGTTGAGAATAATTATTGTGATTAGTCAGCACATCAGATGTTTTGATTGCTGGGAGATATGTGATCAAATTATGCGGTTTCTATCATCTAGCGTGGTGAGGGTAAAAGCAGTTAATATCTGTGTGTCAGAGTCCAATTATAAGAGTCAGATTTAAGAATTTTGAGTGCTTGAGCTAATGCCAGCCCGACTGGCCCTTGGAATTAATATTTCCGGGGGAATCTCCAAAGCAGATAGTTGGTTCTGGAGTTTCCGTGGCATCAGGCTTGGGTGAGTAGAAGCAATGTAGCTGTATAACTCTTCAGGTAATTAGATGGTGAGTAATTGGTAGTGTTCAGTGCAAAATTCACCTTTCTTTTTAATTTCCATCCTGCTGTTTTTTTGTTAGTCTTTTAAGCTCTATCATCCTTAGTATCAACAAATATTAAATGCTTTTCCTAAACTTTTCTGTAGATGGCAGTGCAGCTCGTATTGGTTAATCTTGGATTAGAAGTGTTTTGACCATCTTTGAAAAGGCAACTTTTGCAGAGGGGATTTTAACGAGTCTTCTGGAATAGCAACCAGAATAGGAAGACAATGGAAGGAGCTTGCTGGCTACTCAATCTTTGTTCCTCTTTTGGGAGAAGAAAAGCAGATATCTTTGCTAGTCTCAGTAGAGCTTGGTTTTAAGGACATGGCGGGGGGAGGACGGGACGGGAAATTTGGCCCTTCTGTTCTTCACTAATTGAGCCGACAGCTATGGACAAAATGTGCAATCCAGTGTTGGAGGTTTAAAAGTTACACAAATCTAAATAACCTCTCATAAGACAATGCCATGGGGACTTACAGCTAAGTAGGACATGCATTTTTTTGAGACCTTGTCAGGATGAAGATGTTTTTATCCTCTAATTGTGTAACAGAAAATAATTTATTCTGCTATCCCTACTTTTGTTTCATTTCCAGTTTTGAAGGCAACAAATCAATTGGTTAATATTCTAAGAATTGAATTCCCTTCAAGCTTTTAAGCATTCATTTCATTGGTATTGCTTATACTCCTTTCAACAATTGGTCTTTGCTACTAAGCACCAAATCACTGATGCTGTTTCTGCTCACTTCTGTGTGAGAAGACTGATGCTTAGCAGAGCAGTTGATGGCTCTGTAAATTAGCAACATAGACAATATTTGTCTATATGTATTCTCATTTAACGTTTAGCTGTACTGTTTGCTTATGTCCTGTGTTTCAACTACTTACTTTAATCCCTAGCTGCTTTACTGTTTCATGGCAGAAGGCTGCTCAACAATGTGAGGTACAACTTGTGCTGTGTTTTGTTTGTGGTTTTTTATTTGTTTTGAGTTTTGTTTTTGTTTGGTTGGTTTTAATACAGGCTTTCATCAAGTCTGTTGCTAGCTAGCTTTAGATCAGAGACCAAGCTAAGGGTTATAATTAAAATGTCTCTTCATTTCACTGCTACTGCTACTGAGTGAGTAGCTATAAATGAATCTTAGATTACAATTATTTAAAACAAAGTTAAGAGTTAGATTACAAAAAGAAAGGGAAAAAAAAAACCCCACTGAAAAAACAACAAACCTTAATGTGGATCTACATATTTGTTGTGTCTCTGGGTTTGAATTGTGCTCGTGATTGTAAAGTAACTGTCTTCATTAAACAAAAAAATAATTTACAAAGCCAAGCTGAAACCAAGATTTTAAAGAGTTCTTAGTTCCTATAGACGAATTCTGTTTCATTGGAGGGGGAGATTGTGTTAGTATTTTGCTTGCTAGTGCCTATTCAGTTAGCAGCTGAGAGGGTTAGCATTCCCTCAGTAGAAGTCTGGTAGTTACACATCTGAAGCACTGAATGTCCAATTTCTACAATGATTTTTGAAACAGCTGCTTAGGACTGAAGTCATTTTACTTCAGAGTGCAGGAAACATAAATGGTTTTTTTTTTCCCTATTTCTTGGAATGAGTACTTGAACTGTAGTATATCAACCTTGCTACACTTTTGCTTTCAATAATTTTTTGTCTGGAAATGCTGTTCAACATACATATAAGCAATGTAGCCTAGAAATGCGTCCTAACCGGAGTCTCATCGCTCCTTTGCTTAACCAATAATGAAGTACTCTTTTGCTGTAGCAAGGTTTGAGCTGTTTTCATTTCTCCTGTCCATTGTATTAAGTAGACACATGAGAAATATAAGTTTTAATATGTGTGTGTTCAGAGTGAAGTTTGAATATTTTTGGAAAGTCAAAGTTCTTATTTACATTAAGAGTAAGATAAATAATACAGTTGTTATTGTGTATATTGTTTTGAGAGATGTGCTTTGTTTAAAGGCACTATGATATTCTAGTGCATAATAGTCTGCAAGAAGTAAAAATTCAAACTGAAAATACTCCACTAGCTTTGGCTTCTTTCTTTAATACTCTCTAAGGAACAAGTTGTTGTGGTGTGGTGGGTTTTTTTCTTCTTTTAAAGCAATTTCATTTGGGCAAACAGGAAACTTCTGAGTGTTTTCTGTACTATCAGGTCATATCAAGACCCTGTCTTGGAAAAAGGCAAAAGAGATCGAGTCCTCTGACGCCTCTTTACTGTAGGCTCTAGTAACAATATGAAGGTTTGTGCTATGTTAATTTTTACTGAAATAAATCAAGCCAGTATTTTGGGTATATACAGAGTGAGCATCAATGTAATTATAAGGATACAGGATTATGGAATAATAATTGAAATCTGGCTTGAAGAGACAGATGGGTTTTAGCTGCTTTGCTGAGAATTTAATTGCTCTTGGGATGAAATCTGGATCTCATTGGAATGAATCTGTTTTGTCATTTATT